TGAGGATACTGGTTTTAAACTTTATTATAGTGGTAAGGATAGACGCAGGAATGGGGTAGGAATCATAATTGCCAAGGGTCTTGTGGAAAGTGTGGTGGCGGTCACTAGGAAAGGAGATAGGATTATGCTAGTTAAATTAGTTATTGGAGGGAATATAGTGAACATTATTAGCGCTTACGCCCCTCAAGTAGGGTTAGATGATCAGACTAAGAGGGATTTTTGGGAGCAAATGGATGAGATCTTACAGGAGATACCCGTAGGAGAGAACCTGGTTATAAGTGAAGATTTTAATGGCCATGTGGACATAGATAAATTAGGTTATGAAAGGGTGCATGGTGGATACGGTTTTGGTGACAGAAATGAGGTTGGAGAGAGAATCTTAGATTTTGCGTTAGCTTCTGACCTGGTGGTGGCCAATACTATGTATAAGAAGAGGGAGGAGCATTTGATAACCATTAAGAGTGGATTAGTTAAGAGAAATTAGGTATATGGTAGTTACCAAAGAACAAAGCCTCTTTTTTCTTTTTTTTTTAATAATCAAGAATAAATTCTAAACTCATTTTATTATTTTAAGAGTATAAATTCAAGATACATGCGATCACCCGTTAATCTTACATTTCAACAAAGTAAGATATCATGACTCAAACTTTAGGCTATGAAATGGTGCATGGTGGATACGTGGTGGAAGACAGAAATGAGGTTGGAGAGAGAATCTTAGATTTTGCGTTAGCTTCTGACCTGGTGGTGGCCAATACTATGTATAAGAAGAGGGAGGAGCATTTGATAACCTTCAAGAGTGGATTAGTTAAGAGCCAAATAGATTACCTCTTAGTGAGAAAAGTGGACTGCCTAAAATGCAATGATTGTAAGGTGATTCCTGGAGAGAGTCTGGTCTCTCAACATAGGATTTTGGTACTAGATTTATGTTTTAGAGGGCAATACCAAGCTAGGAAGGATGGTGAGCGTCGTAGGATGAGATGATGGGACCTAAAATGGGATAAACTAGAAATATTTAAGAATCGAATGGATAAGGAAGGTACTTGGGACTTAGAAGGTGATGCTAACACTATGTGGAATTCGATGGCCAATTGTATGAGGAGAATCTCAAGGGAAGTGCTTGGAAAGTCGAAAGGAACGGGACCCAGCTCTAGGGAAACTTGGTGGTGGAGGGAAGCGGTTTAAGCGGTAGTTAAGGCAAAAAAAGAGTGCTTTAAAAAGTGGCAGAATGATAGAACTGAGGAAACCTTAAGAGCTATAGATTGGCTAATAAGGAGGTCAAGAAAGTAGTGAGAGAGACTAAGTTGAAAGCTTATGATGACCTATACACTAGACTAGATAGTAAGGAGGGAGAGAAGGGGGTATACAAACTTGCTAAGCTACGGGAGAGGAAAACAAGAGATTTTAATCAAGTAAAGTGCATCAAGAGTGAGGATTCTAAGGTATTGGTGAAGAATGATGAGATTAAGGAAAGATGAAAGAATTATTTTGAGAAACTGTTAAATGAGGAACATGGAAGTACGACAATAGGGGAAGAAATATCCAGTAATACGATAAACCAAGACTATAAGTTCTATCGTAGGATTAGGAACTTTGAAGTGGAGATTGCACTTAAGAAGATGAAATCAAATAAGGCTTTAGGACCCGATGATATCCCTATTGAAGCTTGGAAGTGTTTGGGTAAAAAGGGAGTTGCTTGGTTGACTAGGTTGTTTAGCAAAATTCATCCTCATCAACTACTAAATCGGTCCAATCCAACACATGTGATGGATCCGGCTCATATTTCCGAAGCATACTCACATGAAACACGTCATGTACTCCGGACAACTGCGGC